TATAGTATATCCGAACGAGGATGTTTTAGACTACAACAGCAGTAAGTATAATACAACAAAAACAACAGGTGGGACTCAGAACTGTGTGCCAATGGGCACCCTATTATACCTAAGTCATTATTTTCTTTTGTAGGATATCTATGTGCAAGAAGGAATCCATCTGAGGCAATGCACTGAGGGAGCAGGGATGGTATCTCCAGATGAAAATCAGGAATTGGTGCCAAAGGAAGGGTGCATGAAAGAGCAGAATTCAACTGAAGAGTGTGCAAGTTACAAAGGAGGAACTGGGCCTGGCTTATCATGAGCCAGTCATCAATAGTTAAGAGGTTTGTTCAAAAAATTCCCAAGAGTTTTGAAAAAAACATTAGGTACAGAGATGGAGATTGCTAGCAGGTACGGCAAACACTGATTTGGGAAAGAGGAAACTAGAAAACACAGAGACCCATCTCCGGTGCCTTCCACGTCTCTGATTTCTACTCTCAAGGGCATAACTTTTATTGTTACGTTCCCAAGTGCCATCTGAAATATATCTTAAGCAGAGTGCCAGTTCTGGAAAGAGCAAATTTTTACTAGCTTACTTTGTGATTTCAGGTATCTTTTTTATTAGTTTGTTTGCTTGAGAATTATGTTAATGCTTTCAAAAGCTTTGTGGTTCAATGGAATACAACTACCATAAATCTTTAACACATTTTTAATAAATTTCCTCTCACTAAACTCTAGAGGTTTCTTTTTTGTTAAGATTTTATTTATTTATTTTTTAGAGAGAGGGGAAAGGAAGGAGAAAGAGAGAGAGAAACATCAGTGTGTGGTTGCCTCTGGTGCTTCCCCTGCTGGGAACTGGCCTGCAACCCAGGAACGTGTCCTGACTGGGAATCAAACTGGTGACCCTTTGGTTCGCAGGCCCGTGCTCAATCCACTGAGCTACACCAGCCAGGGCTAAACTCTAGTCCTGAGGTTTATAAACATTGTCAGATATGCCAAATAACATTTGGGGAAATTTGTAAATTTTTACTTTTCTAACTATTGGTTTCAATGATTTGCCATATCACTTAACACATTAACTTTGATGTTTTTTACCTTAGCATCTATCACTGGGCAATTCAAACATGATATTTGGCCAAGTAGCCTCCACAGATTTGCATCAATATGAAAAAGACTCTAAAATGTAAATAGAGTTTTGATTCTCAGATAGGAAGTGTATAATGAACACTTTAAAAGGAATTCTGGACCTAAGGTCCTCTTCCCTGCTGCACCTTCCATTAATCCTAACCCCTGCTATATCATCCATTCACCCTCTTCATTCCATAGTACCCACTGTTAACACGGGAAAGAAAAGTCAGCTCAGTCACTGCTGGAGACATCCTGATCGCTGGAACTGTCTCACTGACAGCAATTTTGATTTCCAGGCCATATCCCAGGGATTGGATTTCTACTTAGAGACCTATACCAGCCTCTCCTTGGGTCAGTCCAGTGAGCCCCCTGGTTGGAAGTATGAGTCCCTTTGCACAATGATAAGTGGGGGTGCTTACTAAGGACCAAGCACACAGACTAGGTGGTCCTATGTAATTTAAACAAGTAGGTCATTTTAGAAGGTGTTCTTAAAGGGAGGGTACAGGGAGGACATATTAGTCCTCTTGCTCTCCTTGGATTAAACATTGGATTACTGGTCAACAAGGGTACGACGTCCACTTATGAGTATTGGGGAGCTTGCTGATCACTGGTGACAGCAGCAAAGTATGCTGCAGCAAGAAAGACTGACCACTATCCCCATCTGAGCCACATGGTAAGGGGACCAGAACACAATTTCCCGAATCTGGAGGAGCATAAAAACCCACTTCCACAGGGACCCCCTGAATCAGGCAGGCAAACCAGAATCCTGCTCGGAATAAAGAAGCTCTGCCAAGGAAGCCACAGTCCCTGGAATAGGCTCCTAGCCAGCCCAGGCTATGGCAAGAAGCACACAGAAAAGCCACACCTCATAAGTGGCTAGAGTGGCCTACCTTTCCTGTCGTGCTAAGGGGGGGCCCCACCTGGCTTGCATCTAGCCTTTGGAATGTGGCCAATGGATGTTATTTTGAATATTCCCACATCTAGGAAATTGGTATAAAGACCAGTGTAGGTATGTCTGGAAGACACAGCAGCAAACAAGTCCCAGGTTACTTCTGCAGTGGTTTGGAATCAATTAATAAGCCAATAGCAGTCTCCTTACGAAGCTGTCCAGGAGTCAAGATTCAGAGCTCCTGTTCACAGTGCCAATTGTTTTTTTACTTCAAGTTCTTTTCATGGTGAAACACAGCGCATTGACACCAAAATGAAAGGTAGACCTATGATACGTTCAGCTCAAAACAAGAGAGGGCAGCTGGGCAGACCCACAAGGGTGTGCATCCCAGACTGAAAAACAGCAAGCTGGAGCAATAGGGGGCAGCTGATTCACAGAACGGAGGGTGGGGTAACTAGGTTTGCTAGGCTCTCTGTGGGCTGGCTGATTTGAAGCAGCTCAGTCTCCAGAGAACGGGGGCTATCTCCTATTCCTGGTACCTGGTCCTAAGAGACCCAGAGCCTAATAAGGGAAGTGGTTGGGGTATAAACTTAATCAGGTACTCAGGAAGTGCAATTGCCTTGGCCCGGTGGCTCATTTTGTACGAGTTTTGTCCTGAACAAGAAAAAAAAAAGGTGGTAGGTTCCATCCCTCATTGAGGTGTGTACGGGAGGCAAACCATTGATGTTTCTCTTTTCCATCCATGTTCCTCTCTCTCCCCCCACTTCCATCTGTCTCTCTCTTCCTTTCTCTCTAAAATAAATTTAAAAGACATTTCCTCAGATGAGGAGTAAATAAAAAAAGAAGTAGAATTTGCCATCCTCTAGCTGGGGCTTCAAAACTGAATCAAGGCATTTGGAAAAGATGTAGCTGGAACATGAATGGATTTAAATAAATAAATGTAAACACAGAACATAATAAAATAAATTGAAAAACCGAGTCAAGATACCATTTAGAAAAAAACTTCTATACAGGTTAAGCTTAGTTGGAATTCCTGAGTAGAAGTTAAAAACAAGTTATCGATAAACATTTCAGATTAAGTATAAACTGAAAAATATATTCATGGGCATCAGTTTTTGGATCATGGGTTACCAACGAGATTTCTGTGAAGAATGTTTGTTGTTAAGATAAGGAAGAACCAAGAAAGCTTTTTATTTATAAAGCTGAAGTCTGAACAATAAGGCTTTTGTGAGACTATTTAACTTTGTTCTTTTTATTACAGTGGAAATATTTCCTTTTCACTAAGGCTTCTTTGATTTATCTACTAAAAAAGACACTATTTACTCCCTTTTAAAAATCCCATTGTACTGCCTTTCTCTTCTTTAGCAATCAAAATTTTCATTGTTTTGTTTATTGGTATCCTCAGTACTTAAAATAGTTCCCAGCATGTTTGTTGAAAAAAAATAAATGAATGAATGAACCTCTGTACAAGCGTTTTTTTTTTAAACCTGAATATATGGTATTTTACTTTTAAAATACTTTAGTATAAATAGCATGGTATATGTATACAGATGCAAGTATGTAAATTATCTTTAATTTATCCACTTAGGAGAGATTAGTTACCATTTGAAGTATTCCAATCAGGAATGATACTCTAAATAAAATTACTTTACATTTCAATTATGGCCATTGAAATTCATCAGAGAGCACTGAGTACTACCCAAGATATGTAGGGGGTTTGAAAGAGTGTGTAACAATGAGGACAGACCAAAAATGTCATGATAGCTGTGATACTCATTATTATGTTAGTACGCTTTTAAGGGGAAAATCTATTGTCAGCCAAGAACTGTGGCTAGACCTGCTGACAAATATTTTTGCATCTGCATCACAGTTTACCCTCCCTGCACCTTGTTAGCTATAGCGCCGAAGGGCAGAGTGAGACTTCCCCTGAGCTATAGAAATAATCTGTACATCTGCTTCTTAGTGTCTGGTTGCTAATGAGTACTTTTTGGCCCAAAGCGTGATTCTGTCGGGGTTATCCTTCATGGCAGGGGTTATGTAAAAGAAAACTTACAGCTCCCAGGGGTTTACCCAGTGAAAGAACTTTCATTATTTTGGATAAGTAAATTTCCTTAGAACACTTTGAATATCTTATAGTTAACTTTCATGGTAATGCTTACCTAAACTGTAATATATGTAAAACCAAGAGCAAATCTTTATTCTGAAATTTGACGAATTACTAGAAGCCTGTTACCATACCCCTGTCTAAATTGCTTTGTTTTGTACCAGGTAAGAAGAACCTAAAGACTGCTTTCAAAAAGATGTAAAATAACCTTTATCAGCAATTTAAAACAGCATTAGGGACTAAAAGCTGGCCTAGTAATTATTGAGAGAGAGATTGATTTGTTGACATTTTTGACAGTTTGAATACAAAGTATAAGAAATTATCATTGAAACAACATATTGTCACCGTGAGACGTATATTCCTTGAAATACAGAAAGTTCCCGACTTAACAATGTCTCCACTTCACGGTACGACAAAAGTGATACACATTCAGTAGACACCATACTTCAAATTTTGAATTTGGATCTTCTCCCTGGCTAGTGATATGTGGTACAATAATACCCTCTGGTGATGCCCGGCAGCTCGGTGAGACACAGCTTCTAGTTGGCCAAATGGTCCTGAGATTAAGTACCTGATACTCCACAGGGTACTGGGTTGTCAGCCATTTTTGGATAATGAGTTTGCATTTTCACATCCCATTGTGTCTACAAAACACACATCTATCCTTCCTGCTTCTGGTAAGAAGAAAGTATGAAACGCGAGATAATCGCCCAACAGTAGTATAATATAATGTTCTGAGCATATTTAAGTTATGATGCTTCGTAGGTAAGGTGTATTAAATTAATTTTTTACTTATTTTCAATTAGCACTGGTTTACTGGGACATGACATTATTGTAAATTGAGGAGCATCTGTATCCACTGCAATTTAAAAGAAAACAAATGGTTAATACCATTTCAAAAGTCTACATGATAAGATAATCAAGGCGTGGTGATTCTTGCGCAAGGGCCATGCTAATCTTCTCTGTATTGTTCCAATTTTAGTATAAGTGCTGCCTGAAGGGAGCACAAAGCAAGGTGATTCTTTAGCAGCCTGAGGGTTGATCAGCTGCCCGGGGACCTGCCAATGTCAATTCTGCAAGGCAGAGCTAGGCTTTGGGAAAACTGAAGACTCTGAAGAGCAAAAATTCAAAGTAGCAAGTAAAACTGGAAAGTAAAAAAGGAGAGTCTCCCCAGGCTAGAATTAAAAGCTAATAGGAATTCCCTGTGTATAAGAACAAAAATGAGATTTGACATTCAGTCTTACAGTATTTACTAAAGATGCAATTTTGTTCAAGTTAAAACATTAGTAAAATGTTAAGTAGTTTTTTCCTAGACTAATTGAGATATGCTAAAACGAGCCACTGACTTCATTACAGGATATGTTTGCTTCTTCTCTTTCCCGCTTGAAGTAGGGTCTGTAGCCCCGACAAAGCATTTGCCCTTTTACCAGAGTTTCAGTTAAAGAAGAAGAATGGAAAAATTACGAACAGCAAAGATATATTCTAGAAATAAGCTAAAATCAAAAGGAAGTTCCAAGTATCATCTAACCCCTTTAGAATGTTAGTAGCATGGGGAAATCTAGCTCTCATAGCTGTGAACAGTATTCTCACGAAGGATATTCGTAATACAGTGTAGGAAGTATAGTATAGTACATAGAGACTATAATATAGGGACATGGATGTAGGGGTGAAGGACACCTTGAACTATTAGAAATATGATTAGGAGATTTAGAAAACTGTGGGGAAAAGGGAAACCCTAAAAAACAAAATTGAGAGACAATTTAACAGGTTGCTAAAAACAATAAAAGTAGCATAGATGGTAGGTAGAAAATAGATAGGGGGAGGGCAAGAATAGTATGGGAAATATAAAATCTAAAGAACTTGAGACACGTGGTCATAAACTAAAGGGGGGAGTATTGGGGAGGGGGTGCAGTGTGGAGGGGAATAAAGGGGGGAAATAGAACAACTGTAATAGCATAATCAATAAAATTAATTAAAAACATTAATAAGAAACCATTCTTACACCCCAAATAAATGGAAAAAACAGCAAGTATCCAAAATCAGTTGTTCAAAAGTAAAAATTAAGAAAGTCACAGATAGCTCTACATGAAGAACTTTATGTGTGGCAGCACCTAAACCTGCTTTATAATTTAAAAGAGGGAATTCAGCATCCTGCCAGGTTCTGTGGGAAGGGAGGCTAATTCAATAGCACCCACATGACCTTAAGATTTGTTGGTATCTACAAAGTATTGACTCTACAAGTATCTACAGAAGTATTGACTGACACATACAAATGAGTATAGTGTAAGATAGAGTTGATGTATCACAGAATTTTACACTTGAAACTTATATAATCTTATTAACCAGTGTCACCCCAATAAGTTTAATTAGAAACACAAATGAGTAGCTATTTCTAAATTCAACATTATTTAAAGGGGCAGAAAGACATAAATCAGAGGTTTTGATGATACAGTCATTCTGTCAAAAGAACTAAGAGTAAATGGAAATAAATCTCTGGCTAATTAGGTGATTGGAAACAGAACACGCCGAATATATCAGTGGAATGGTATGTTGGGGAGTGTGGACTGGGAAGGAACTTTCTGCACTTGGAAACACTACAAGTTGGAGGACTACTGCTTCCACCAGATGACCTTGTATCAGACAAAAAGAACATCTTTACAAGGTAAATACAGAATGAAAAAATAGGAAATGAAAATTAAGAAAACATTCATTTAAACCCTGGCTGGTGTGGCTCAATAGATTCTCAGCTTGCAAACCAGAGGGTCATCAGTTCAATTCCCAGTCAGGGCACATGCCTGGGTTGCCAGCCAAGTAGATGGTGCGTGAGAGGCAACCACACAGTGATGTTTTTTATCCCTTTCTCTCCCTCCTTGATACACGGCAGCAAATAATCGTATCTGGATATCTTTGTGGTATGCAGCTGTTAGTGCTGCTGTTGATGCTACTATAACATTCCGCAAGCTGAATGATGTCAAAAAAATTGTAAAGCATAATGAAACCAAAGTGTAAGACATCCCTAAAAAATCATAAATTTATATCTAAGATATTACTTGATAATTGTCTAAGCTGAAAGGTATCACCTGTAAGTGTTATGCAGATCTATTTTTAAAATTAATATTAACTAGCCAAAGTAAGCATAGCTTTCCAGATACTTTATTTTACTACAAAACATAAAATATAATTTTTTGAGTGTTCCAATAGGTATTTGTTAAAAATCCAATTTGTGCACGGATTTGGTTGAAGAGGTAGGTTTACATGAACATTACACTAAACCTGCACTTCAGATTTGAGTATATCCTGATGCTTAAAAATAAGGTTCTTAAGTTAGTTCAATTCATGTTTCAATCCTAGAAATATTACTTACCATATATGTTAAAATAAGTTGACTTTATTATCCCCAAATTAACTTATTGTGTTCTTTTGCAACGAAATAATAAATATGACATTTTCTCAATTGGGTTATTGAGAGCTATTTAAAAAAATATTGTGCAAATAAAAGTAATACTTGTTACATATTAATCAATTTTATAGATATTACTACATTTTAAATTTATATTATTTTTATATATTGCCCATAACTCTTACATTTGTAATTATAAAATTATTCATTTTTATTTAATTTCTTGCATGTGAAGAATCCTATTTCTCATTAAAAATGTTAAGTGGATACATATAAATCAGAAATATAATAAAAACAAATTAGTGCCCTAGAAATAGAAGATGTGTTGTATGTCACAATTTGGTTATTTGGTTCTTCAGTTTTTAGATTGTTTTCAATTTTAGACATTCAAAATGTAATTCACTATTAAAGGAGTATCTTTAAGAATAAAACCTTTTCTGGAGATGCATGTAGAGAATGTATATAAATGATTTCATACCATAAACAGAATCTGCAAGTATAAAACTAAATGCATTTTATCTTTGCTTTTATTTCAGTCATACATACAATAATTCACATTTATTATCCATGTACTCGAGAATTGTATTTAGAATTGTATTTATATTTCATGTTTATTTTCATAAGAAGAGCATAAACCTTAAAAGTGGACTAAATAAAATCACTGGAAAAATTCATCACAGTGCCCATCAGTAAATGAGTGGATCAAAAAACTGTGGTACACTTACACAATGGAATACTATGCAGCAGAAAGAAAGAAGGAGCTTCTGCCCTTCATGACAGCATGGGTGGAGTTGGAAAGTATTATACTAAGTGAAATAAGCCACATGGAGAAAGACAAATGCCATATGAAATTACCTATAAGTGGAACCTAATCAACAAAACAAAATGATGGATAAAACAAAAATACAATCAGAGACATTGATATAAAGAACAAACTGACAGTGACCAGAGGGGAAGGTGGAGGATGGTAATGGGGAAAATGTGAAAGGGGCAAGCAAGGGAACATAGAGGATTGACTGGGGGAATGGAGGGTTTGGGGAGGGGTGAGCAATAGGGAATGAGGCAGGACAATTGTAATAGAAAAACAATATATTAAAAAAATTCAAGTATAAATTTAAAAAAATCATTCTTAATTTTTTTCTTTCATTCAAATAACAATATGTAAGTTCCATGGAAGACTAGCTTCATGCAAGTAAACAAGAGTTTAATCTTAGCCTTAAACCTATATTTTTGCTTGTTTTTTTGTTGTTGGAATCTACCATTATATTTAGATCATATTTAAATATTATACTTAACATCATACTTACTATTATCATTAAGTAATTATACTTACTTTTGCCTGTTTTTCTTAGTGACCATAATTGGAGAATTTAATTAGGAACAAGTATTAATGAACCTGGTAATCAATGTGATAATGACGTGAGTTTAACATAGTAAGATTTCTGTTTCCTTTAACCTTTATATGCAGCTGTGTATGTAAGAGTGTGTGTATAATCACTACAACACTGGAGATCAACTGGACCCAAAAGACAAGCGTGGAAAGTTCCACCCAATAATAGCAGAGCACACATTGTTCTCTCATGTTCACAAAGCATTTCCCACGATAGACTATATGTTAGTCCAGAAAGTAAATCCTAGTATATTTAAAACTATTAACATAGTAAAAATACCCAACAATCAAAATGCAATAATATTAGTAGCATTTTAGTTGATGGCCAAAGTGTAAAAACAATTCAAACATCCATCAGCTGATGAGTGGATAAACACAATGTAGGGTATGCATAAAATGCAATGTTATTTAGTTATAAAGAAAACTTAAGTATTGGTACATGCTACAATGTAAATGAACTTTGAAAACATCAGGCTAAGGGAAAACTATAGACACAAATGTCTTATATTATATGATTATATTTACATTAAGTGTTAGAATAGGCAAAGCCACAGAAAGCTAGAAAGTAGATTAGAGGGTTGGAGAGACTGGAGGGTGTTGGCTAAAGAACATACTGGTTTGTTTGTTTGTTTTTGTGTAATGAAGAAACTCTGGAAGTAGGTAATGGCAATGTTTGTAAAACTTTGTAAATGCACTGAACCACTGAATTTCACCGTATAAAAAGATGCGTTTTTGAGAATGGGGATGATGTTAAGATAAGAGAAGAGCAAGGAGAAGGAGAAGAGAAAGGAGAAGAAGAAGAACAAGAACAAGAAGGAGACTAAGAACAAGAGGAGGAAAAGGAAAAGGATGGGGAAGAGGAAGATGACAACAAATCATCATCATTATCATCATCATGAGCTAGAGTTTATTAAAGGTATGGATGTCGAAGCCTAATCCCAGAATTCCTAAAGGTGAACCCAAATCTGAGCCTGGACAGGCTTCCCAGTTAATTCTGATGAATGTCAAATCTCCCTATCTCTCTACAGATAGTGAACAGAGACAGGTAGGATGGTAGTAGATAGATAGATAGAGACTGTTTCCAAATTTCTATGTATGTTGGCTGCTGTCTAATTATGCAAGCGTGTGTGTATAACCCTATATACACACTTATTTGTACACACATACTGGGCCCAAGTTTGATCAGTCAAGTGTCAACCATAGAGACAGACCAGCAA